TCTCTGTCACAGTACAGGTGGACTGTTCGGGGTCAGATATCTTCTTTGTGTGTATATATATGTGTGGGTGAGCGGGTGTTTAACTCCCTCCGGCTGCACAGTGGTGAGTGTAGGAGGGGCCATCTCCTCAGCCTGGGTGTGAGTCAACTGCCTCCAGTCAGAGTTGTCTCAGCTGAGCTGGAGCTTGAGTCTGAAAAGAACTACAAACTTTTTTTTTTTTTTTTTACCCAAACAAGACGTGACTTTGTTTGCTTACTGATATGCTCACAAAGAGCCTATTTTTGGGATCTAAGTCAGGAATATTTCATCGGAGCTGTTGACAATGCAGGGGAAAGCTGGTAAAGCTCCAAAGAAGGAACTGGTCATTGAGAGCCCACAGCAGTACAAGAGTCCAGCTGAGGCTGAGGTGGATTCAGTGCCACAGGTGGTGGTAAGTACTCATTCTAGGATGTAGCATGATATATGTGAGTATTTGTTTTATTTTATTACATTTGTTCTCCTCTACTGGAACGTCTTTCAGCGCACAGTGCTGCCGAAGTTAACCACGGTTATAAAGCACCTAAAGCAGGTGTCATGTGAGCATCTCACTTTTTTTTTCTCCGTTTCATTACCCACAATGCTGCCAGCTCGCATTTAAAAACTGCAATGCTAGCAACAGCTTTCAAGAAAGTTGAACTTTCACCAGCACTTTACTACCTGCACAGAAGGAAGCTCAGAGTTTGTTTTTATAGACCGTTTCGGCTTGTAAAAAAAAAAAAAAAAAAACTTCATGCGGCTCAAAAGTCAGTGATAATGACAGTGATAATTTTCCTCTCCGTGATGAAGGTGTCCAGTGCTTGAGGCTCTGCAGAGTCATTCGAACGGTCCTTGGTTGAATGTATCGGTTAGTGGAGGGGCACTACACAGCACCATTGTTTCAGGCTGTGTGACTGATGGGAGGAGTTGGAGCCTCAGATAAACAGCTGCTGGATGTATGGAGGGATTAGAAGTGATTGCTTCAAATATTCCTGTTTTTTTTTTGTTTTTTTTTTGCTGTTTCCTAAAACTTCTTGGTTTACCCTGCTGAAGTGAACAATTTTTGAAATTATAAACATAAAACTTACCAAATGAACCACCAGCTGTGGCTGCTGGTTTAGGTTTGTGATCCTGCTGGACGATGGAGAAAACAACACTGAGATTTTGTTCAGGATGATGTGAAAGTGTTTGCATTTTTTCGAGTAATGCTTGCAGGTTTTATTTTTTTTCTCATATGACCAAAGCATCTTCCTCCACATATTTAATATCCCCTTCTAGATAGCTTGTGACAAACCTGCCTTGTTATAACTTTCTGACAATAGAAAGTTACAAGTTTCTTCTTCTCTTGTTATTCACAAATCTTGCCATTAGTGCAAGATTTGTGAAGTGCATGACTTAAAGTTATCACGTCTGCAAAATGTCCAACTTGACTGCTGGATCCCTGCAGCTCCTCCAGAGTTACCCTGGGCCTCATGGTTGGTCTTCTGATAATGCCCTTTCTCAAGCCTCTAAATGGAGGATGGTGGGCAGCTATGGCTTTCCTGTGTTCTTTTATTTTCTGAAGGTGGACTGAACAGTGTGTGATGACAGGTTTAAGTTTGGATATTGTTTTATAATTCAGTCCTGCTGTCAAACTTTACCCCTTATCTGCCTGGTGTGTTCTTTGGTCTTCATCATGCTGTGCATTCACCAGTGTTCTCTAATAAACCTCTAACACTTTCATAGAAGAGCTGGGTTTAAAAACTGAGATTAAACTGAGATTAAAACCATGTGCTACTTTCCTTTCAGTTCAAAATAATGCACCGTGTCCCATTGGTCTATTATAAAATCCCTACGAAACATGCTTAATTTAGAAGTTTAGTTTGTCTGCAAGAATCTGCAGTGCACTTGAATGTGTGGAAACAAACCTCAATATTTCTATCATTTTGGTCTACATCTGCCTTCTGAAGTACTGTGTTTATCTGAGGGGATATCAAGAAGTTTGAAACTCGTCTACTGACTGTGGTCGGGTCTTTGGTGAAAGAGAATGACCAAGCACCTGAAAATGCATGTCCATTGTCTTACTCAGCGCTGAGTTTACTGAATGGTTGACCACTTGGAACCCCTGACGAAGCAATGTCAGATGAACTCTGTTCTGTTGAACACAGAGTGAGAAAAGAAAAGATATGCCAACAACCGAGCAGCTTTAGGAATTAATGATTAGAAAAACTAAATGCAAATATTATGATGGGGTCAGGTCGGTTACACTTTGAGACATTTGGTGCTTGGTTTTGAGTCCGTGCAGACTAATTTTCAGTACCTCATTACTCTCACAGTTTGCCTTGGTGTCAGGGTGTTGAATGTGTATCCTTGTTGATACTCCAATCCCTTTTCTGTCTTAGGTAAACCTTCCAGGGTCCATTTGATCCCTGGTTTAGTCTTCTTAGTCTTGTGTCCAGAATATTGCTTTATTTGGATGCAAAACTGGGTGTGCCAAATGTACCTTAAACAACTTGTCTGATTGTGTCAGAAGATTTAGGGGGATTTAGAAGTGAGACACAGATTAGGACACATCTTGTCTTTCGGATATCATGAATTCCTTCCAGGCTTACCTGTATTACATACAACAATATTAGTGTCCATCTTCTCACCTTCCCTCCATTTTGATGCATAACTGCATCTGAAAGGCATACTTAACAGAAGATGTTTTGACTTAAAAAATACTGGGAAACTCAGTTATGCTACGAATAGAGAACTGCCTTATATGCAAGACCTTACGGTACTGTTTTGGGTTTGCTTTCTCCCGATAGCAAGTCATGCCTGTTCTGTCAACTCCTTCACCGTTTTTAAGCCTGTCAATATCCACGACTTTTCTCTGAGGTCATGCAAGATGTTATCAACTCCAGATGTGGAGGTGATGAGTGATCCGTGCTGTCACTCTGCCCTGAAGTCTGCTTAAGTGTCACTGTTCATTTTTCACTTTGCTGCCTCCCTGGGCTCTTAGGTTTTATCCTTGCCTCCAATCGGTTGCCAGTGTTGACAGCTTACTCTACATGTAATGGTCTTCTGTATCTTTACAGCTTACAGACGTCCGAAGCAGTGTTTTAAAACGTTCATACCTGCATTCAACATGAATGGCGTATTCAAAACTGTTGGCTAAAAGCATGGATACATTTTCTGATTGATCTTTACCACAGAAAGTCAAAGGTATTTGATCTGATTTGTGGAGGATGACTTGTTGAATGCTGTGCTACAGCTGGTGTGTCGTGTAATTGTTTCCATGAGAGTACTGTTGCTCCCACAAAGAGGTTAAGCTCATCAAACCAGCTCCCACTGGCCGAATAGTTGTCTTTTTTCTGCATATTTGGAGTCCTTACTAACTTGTCACTACTTATCTGGGAAATAAACCACCCACATACCCAACAAGACAGCACGGTTGGTTTAGTTTCTGCAGAGTTGTAGTCTCTGTATGTTCTCTTAGTCCACAGTTTTTTTTTTTTTTTTATTGTGATTCCTTGTAGAGATGGGGCCACCATGAGACTTTTTGCAATTTAAGTTAGACTTAAATTGCAAAAACCCGAGGCTTAATTCACATTGCAATCCAAAGATATGATTTGGACAGATACTCTAAAGGCTGTGTAAAGAACACTAGACTGGACTATGATTTGTGATCTGAAGACTTAAGCTGTAACTCAGATTTATCCTCTTAAAACTTGAATTGCTCTTACATTCCAAAGACTTAGGACTCAGACTTGTTTCACATTCAGTTAAAAGATTTGACTCTTAAAGCTTAGACTTTTACTCAAACAGTTGCTATGAAGTTTTAAGACCTATCTCAGTCTCCTGCAAAAGGGTGTGTTTGATTTATTATTGTTTTTGGACTGTGAGCTCATAGTGGTTCATAACAGCCTGTATCAGCTGTTGTTCAATACTAATTACTACACAGATGACTCTAAAAAAGAATTATGTGTTAAATGGTGGTTCATTTCTGGAAAAGATAAACTTAACTGGCTTCTAACATCCAATTATGTTGCTACTAAACTGGCATAATTAAAATTTGATTTCTGACTCTTCAAAATAAAAGCACATCTTCTGACAATATTCAGACCTTCCACACGTTCCTTTGTTTTGTAATTTACAGTGTAATATAGCTTAAATCACATTTACTGCGTAGACGTGACAACATATATTTTTAAATGGAGATTAACTCCATGGTTTCCTATTAATATTTCAAGTCCAGCTGCTATTCAGTGTGATATATTGTAAAGAAGGGAATGTTGGAACACTGTGATAAACAGATGTTATTCACATCATTGCAAAGACATTTACATCTTTAATTTAAAATAATTTATAGCGCAAAGCATTTAGAAGTTTAACAAAAACAGGTGGAAGCCATTTTCTAACATTTTTTTACAAACACAAATTTTGTTTGCTTATATTTCTAAAAGAGTAATTATTACACTTTATTGTTCAAATTAATTTCTAACAATTTATCAGAGTACCTTTGTGTGATGAGTTAATGCCCTGGAAAGAGAGAGAATGTTAAATATACAATATAATTAATATTTGTTATCTATAAAGTTGTTGTGGTAGTTCTATGTATTTGGTTAGAATGCAAATGCAGGTTTTTGGGTTTTTTTGTATTATAATGCCTAATAAGTGAAATCAAACATTTCTAAGTTCTCTTTTCGCTATGTTTATTTAGTATCTTTCCAGTCTCTGTCATTAACTTTGTCACATATTTTGTGAGGCCAATGGGACGCCTACAATGTATCTTTATCTTAAGCAGCAAACGAGCTGAAAAACGTTTTGACTCTTGAAAAGTTTAATGTGTCACAGACATTCATATTTGGCAGTAAATGTGAACGTGGGGTCACAACTTCTCAATCTGTATTGTTTGTTTAATCATTGTTGATGCCAGTCAGAGGTCTGCAATGTAGGTCATTGATCTTCGTCATCTCATTAATGAATCTGTTTCAAAATATTCCACTAATTGTGTTTTCCAGGTAAAACCAAAGGTGATTGAGCCGCTGGATTATGAAAATGTGCTGGTGCAAAGAAAGACGCAAATCCTCAGCGATGTTCTCCGTGACATGCTGCAGTTCCCCCTGGAGGACTTTGAGGTGGGTTTAACGCTGTTTGATAGCCACGTCTGTACCAACTCTGGGTGTAAATATACGTTTGGACAAAACCTTTTTGGTTTTGGCTTTTCAATTACATCTGGAATTTTTACAAGTACAAAAATATAATGAATACCAAGTTTAAATCAAATGCTTTTTTTTTTTTTTTTTACTGCTGTAATTCAGTCTAGGTTTCACAGGTCAAAACGTTGCACATGTTGAGACAGAACTGATATGAGTTTCTCCAGTTGCCCAGAAATGATGTAAAATAAAACCTTTTTGAGACAGAAGCTGATTGTTTCTCTTCATGGTTTGTGAAACCTAATAGGGCTACTCGATTATGGAGGAAAAAAGTATAATTTATGAAGAACAGTCACATGCTCGCTCAACACTTGAGCAACTAAGACTCCATTTTGACGCAAAGAAATCTGATCAATCTCTAGAAATCATTACATGCTGTCAAGTCTCACTAAAAAGTTGTGAAAGTTGTGAACAGTCGATCTGTTGGGCAGCACTGAAAGAGATGCTAACATTAGCAGCTACTGGTTAGCCAGTCACAGTTTTGTCAGATTCGGGGTCTTTAGCTTTAAACCTATTACCTTTACGACCGGGCCCATAATATTAGCTTAAATTTTCTTCACCAGATAGTCATATGTTGACAGCATCACGATAAAACTTTGTGAGACAGCTCTCACTTTGATGACAAATATCACTAAATATAGTGTGATATTGTTACAACCCTAAACTGACTAATAAATCTGCCTCTTGTTAGTGGGAAATGGAATTTAAACTGTAATAGTGATGAACATTTAGTGCAGCCCGTGTGTGTAATTCAGGGAGACTTTGTTTATGTTGAGGTTATGATGCAGCACTATGAAGACCTTGTTATTCTAATAATCTATTTATAATGATGAGTCTAAAAAGGGTGTATTTTCTGGTCTTGCCTCACCCTATCTCTATGAGATTTTGCACCTGCACTCCCGTTCTTGGTGAGCTGATTAGCTGTAGTAGGAGCTGCCTCTGGCCTGCAGCTCAGGGCAGGTCAAACTTTTGCTCCCACATAATGGATTGCTTTGCTGCTGCACAGAAAAGCATCTTCGCAAGCCACTTATAAATCTGATCTTAAGACCTACATCTTCTTTTTAGCACTTGTCCCCGTGTAAGTTTCAAATTTTATTTATGTTAATTTTATTTCTACATTTAATCATTTCACTTGTTGTTCTCATTTGTTTTAATCAGTGTTTTTGGTTCATTTTGTTTGTTCAGCACTTCTGTCAGTGCCTGCTGTTTTTTAAAGTGCTTTATAAATAAAGCTGGTTTGGCATGGTGAATGCCCTTTCTGATGTTGTTCTAGAAATATGTTTCCAAACCATAAAAAAAGTATTTTTACTTAACTTGATTCTTTTGTTGTGCTTGTTAGCGTTTGCAGTGCCCCACCCGGGCCCCACTGGCCCAGGTGGGGCTGTGTTGTGAATACTGGGTGGACTTTTCCTTTTGTTTATTTCTCTCTGTGCTCTAGCGTGTTAGGGACAAGGGGCTATCTGTTTAATTAGCTCATTCTGTCCATTATGTTGTGTGACAGTCAACTTTATCTCGAGCCGCACCATGCCGGACTCGCAACCTCTCAGTGTTTCCACGCTGCTGCAGATGGAAAATACTAGATGGAAATCTGTCCCAGTGCTTGTACCTCAGGAAATGGAAGTCCTTCCTCAAGAGCAACAATGAGATATACAGTGTGTCCTCAAGTCTGGGTCCAACTCCTCTGAACCCCTACTGCACAGTAAAGGTTTTATGGAGTCAGCCTTTTCCTGGTTATCTATACAGTTTCCTCCAGAGACATAAGTCGTTATGTTATTCCTCATGAAGACTTTCACATCTAACAAAATGTACCTCGGGTTAAGGAGCAGGAAGTGATAATTACTGACAGTATCTCTTACCAAACGATATAAGGAAGGAATGAATATTTGTTTCTTTATTGGACTTTTCCGATTTCCGAGTGCTGAGTAACAATATGGCTTTGAGTTTGTTTGCCCAGCCTGCTCTTGTGAAGATAAGATGTCAGTGTTACAACCGAAGCGTTGTCAGAGAATGACAGGTGATTCTGACGGAGGAAAGAAAAACATACTGAGGCACGGTGATTGAGCTTAACATCTGTTTCTGCCGGCCCGCCCTCTTGTACAGACAGGACTGTAATCAGTTGACGTTTCAACGCGGAGATTTAGCAGCTGAAGTTATGTAGAAAACTGCTAAGTTCATGATGTAAGCATTGTAGGAAGCTGCGAAACTACCTGAAACAGATCCTTTGTTTTGTTCTACCCCTGTTTTAGTCTTGGGAAGCATATTTTTCCAAACTGGTTCATCAAGCATCATTTGCTGTTCTTTGTAAAACAAGACCTATATCACCTCAGTAGACTCTGATGGCTTTGTGTTGTGCCCTGGTTGAGTATCAATCACTTTGTTTGCATTTCTTAAGCCTGTTTTTCACACCTTAGTCAACATGCAGCACTCAAATATAATATATTTAAAGTCTGGAATGTGAGGTCAATAATATTCCAACTCAAATGTTTAAGGATTCCTTTTGACCCCAGCAATTATTCTGTGATCGCTCCAGCACAGAAAAATGGCGACTTGAAGCCGATTTAAATGCTTCCTGTTACCCTTTTACCTATATGCTTGTTTATTTCTGCTTCCTGCATTGTAAAGATTGTAATCTTTGCAGGAAACTTTGCTGCAAGCAGGAAGAGGGATTGGCAGGTTTACTTAGGAAAGCATATGGAATTTCTTTCAGATGACACAACCAACACTTTTTACGGCACATAATTTTATGTTTTGGTTTGTGTGGAAGACAAAGACAGCAGTGTCGCATTTTTTGTGTGTCTTATCATTCAGGTCATCAACGACTCATGACTTGTCTGTGTTGAAAGAGTGTTTGCTTTCACCTCAGGCACTTCAGCATACCTGGGAACTCCACACTTTAGCAACAAAAGGTGACACGACTTGGAGACAAAGAATCCTCAACTTTAAAAGTATTACAAGTTTACGAGCTAGATCTCTTAATCATTACTTTTTTAAATACAGGTACAACTTAAGCAATGATCCAAATAAAAACGCCAGCATGTTTATATGTTACTAAGTTATTTATTATTATGTGTCTATAATTTGCAAGGAACATGTAAATGTCAAAGGCTGAATTACAGAAACTAAAAGTGATACTGTCATTTCACCCTGTTAGTAGTAATCAAAGTCCTGGGGTAGCTTTAAACATGATTGGATTTAGTGTTTTGTTACATGTGAAACACAACCTTTTTCAAATCTACAGGCTTTTCACTTCAAAGTCTATTGTGTTCTCATAAAACATGTAGCTTGCCACAGACTGTACTTGTTCTCAATAAAGTGTCTCTGGGCCCTTGACACATCACTAATGAATTGCTTCCCACTGGATTTGATCAGTCAGATGTTGATCTAACCTCAAATGCCCAATAATATTTGCAAGGACACCCAGAGCAACTGTGACTCATTTAAACCACAATTCTGGGCTTTCTAGGAAAACGACATCCTGCTGCTTCACATTTTGTTTCATTTTCAGTATTGCAGTGTTAGTGGAAGGTCTTCTGTAATTCCCCGTTTCTGATTCTTTAACTCTTTTGTTTTTCCTCACAGATTTCAACTTTGAGGCGCCAAGGGAGAACTCTGTACCCCACAGTGCCTGAAAATGCTGAGAGGGAGGCCCAGAGCCTGTTTGTCCAGGAGGTAAACTCATTTCCCAACAAAAAGCAGCAAAATCAGATCTCAGCCAGTTTATCCTCAAACTGCCTCGTTAGGAGTTAACTGCTACCGAGTCATTTGCATCTTATTTGTCGTGCTATTGTTTCATTTTTCTTCCAAATGCCCAAAATGCTACCAAACGGGTCATTTAAAAATGGTTGAACCTTCTTCCATACATGCTACGTGTGAGCAATTCTTGTCAACCAGTCTCCATATTAGTTAGTTCTGTCAACACAAGAGACCAGCTGGAGCTCAAGAACTACTTCCTTTCCTACTTCAAAATAAGAGTCTCAAGCAGAGCGACAGAGTGTCAGTCTTAAAGAGCCCAAACTGACGTTTTTGACTCGAAACGAATGTTTTTCTCAACTTTGCGAGACATATGTCACTTTGTCCCAACATCTACTTATGCCATTGGTATTTTAATTGTCTTCTGTCCAGGAGGTGTTGACAAGGAAGGAAGCAAATATTTTCTTGTCTGTGATGGATCTTGTCTAAGCTCTTCTCAGTCAAATTAAAATCCTGGGGAGAATTTTGAAGTAAAGCGTGTTAAACATTCATTTAGAGCTGACCAAATCTCTAAAATCTAACCACTAAGACCATACACAGCACTGCTACTCCTACTGGACACAGCAGCTGCGTGCTGACAGTCCACCTTCCAGGTCACAGGTCAGCGATTAGAGAACGGCGTGTATGAAGTCATGAAGATACCAAAAACACAGCTCGAGTGTTGTGTGACATCACTCAGACAGCTGCACAGATTGACAGCTTCTCCGTTTCTAATTCGTCTCCTGTTCAGGTTACGTTTCGTCTCCCAGCAGGGGCACTTCTTGTAAGCGCCACGCATTTCTGCTGAACAGATACCTCTGAGCTGCTCCTATCACTGGCTCTAACAATGAACAGATGTCCACTTTCCAAGTAAAAGAGGATAGTGATACACTCCCTGCTGAGGCATGGTCAGACCGAGGTGGAGTCACCACACACTCCTTTTCCGCTAATTTTCTGAAGAATGTTATGTTGAGATTCAGTTTTTTTTTTTTTTCTGTATCTGTGGAATTTCAAGGCAAAAGTTCACTTTGAGGTTGTCATCTTGTTAGTTTCATTTTAGTATCTCGAGCATCAAATTCAATGGCGGTAGGTCAGATAACATAAAAAAAAAATGAGCCATCTTGTGCAAAAGGTTTACAAAGCCAAGAATAAAGACACATTTTAATAACAGAAATAAGCATAAACTATTATTCTGCAGCAGCTCTGAGATGCAGTCTCACATCTTTAGCCTGTTGTAGATCACAGACCTTCCCTTAAAAGATACCGAGAGACTGTTTACTAAAATTATTAAAAGCAATTAAGTAATTTATTTGTAAATTCATATAAAAAAAATCTCTTGTCTGAAGGACATGAATAATGCAGTGTCTTCATTCAGACACAGAGCTTTTTGAGGAAAGTTGCACCTGTCACATTTCTTGACGCCAGCAGAGAGAGTTGCCTTTAAAAGTCCGTGTGACTCCTTCTTTAGCAGTAATAGGTTCACTGGTCCATGTTCAGTCCCCATGGTAACCAACTGCTGGCAAGTTGACGGTGGACGTCTCCAGCAAATTTTCTGTGGCTTTAATGTGAACAAGCTCTATTGCACCATCAGAACACAATGCATTGAACAAAATAAGAGAAATCAAACTTTTGTCAGAAAATGTCTGTCCAAAAATGCTCATTGGTAACACAAGAACTCATCAGTGTCTTATAAATCGAACCCCCTCTGACCAGAGTTCAACATGGAGATTCTCACCATATACCTGTCTAAATAAGAGCTTGACTGCAAGGCTTTTAGCTGGGATACTCAGCTTGCTTAGACTTTTTTTTTTTTTTTTTTTTTTACTTTTTACTAATAAACTGATTGGAAGCGTAGCTGGAAAAACATTTAAGTCAGATCCCAGAACCTGAAAACGTTAATTTAGGTTTGCAAGTTTCACTTAACTCAACTGTCTGCAGTCAATTCCTTATTAGTAAGAAGGGTCCACCCGTGTGTAGTTTCATCCTAGCATAAATAGAGGTTTTCTTGGAGAACATTAGTGAACAAACACAGCATCATAATTTAAAAAGGAACTCAGCACATGTGTTAGAAATAAGGATTGCAAACTTGTTTCATCCTGCAAGGCTGCAGTTTGTGTCATTTTACGGGGTGCAGCTGTCTTCAGACCCACTGAACGAAGTCCCATTAATTGATCATCCATGTCTTCGCAGTGCATTAAGACCTACAAGTCTGACTGGCATGTGGTCAACTACAAGTACGAGGATTATTCTGGGGATTTTCGACAGCTTCCAAAGTAAGTCGGCAGTTTAAATCCTCAACTCTGCAGTGAGTAAAGTTAACTTGTCCTACATTGTGACATCAGCATGAGGGGAGTAATAACAGGCACTCAGATAACGCGTAGATGCCAAAGCTGTCATCTATTTTCATCTGCTGCTTTGGAAAAAAATGCTGCGTGCCCTAACAAGGAAACACCTAGCTCTCATTTACGTGCAAACCAGTGTTTCCTTTTTGTTTCATGGAGCACGGCACCATTTCTAAAATACAGCCATGTGGAAAACACCCTCATTGTCAAGAGGTTGTGTCACCAACAACAGTTTCTTCCCTGAAGAATATATATTTTACTGGCAGTGTGTTAGCTGACGATGTCCTGCACACTGCAACGATTGCCAAATGCTTTGTTGCTTCACTCATTCTGGGGAAATTAAAACAATGCTTCACGACACAGATCGCCTGTTAAAATCCCTGGCACTGTTTCCGTTAATGTGAAGTTAGCATTTGGCAACTTTTCATTTCCTAGTTTCCTTGGACCATTACTGTAAAATGCAGCATTTATATCATCCTGGACTTTCCATTTACAATGTTAACTGCCGACACTCTTGGAGAAGAGTTTTCCAGTTTATTAAAATAAGTCAAAGGTTAAAAATGTAATCTCTGTCAAAACACAATGCGTTTGAAAGAATGTACACAAAACAGTGTTGCTTGATCAAACTCAAATTTCACCTGTTCTTACAGCAAAGTACCCCGGCCTGAAAAACTGGCGGTTCATGTGTTTGAAGTGGATGAAGATGTTGATAAAGAGGAGGTAAGTCCATGCACTACATTAGTTGGTACACTGGTGTCACATATTTGTCGTTTTATTATCTCTTTTTCATAAATAAAAAAAAATACATCAAAGCTATCCCGCAATTAGCTTTCCCTAAATGTTGTATTATTTCTTCCTCTGTTTGAAGTAAAACACCATTTTCTGCCTCAGAGCTGAGCTCAAAAAGGACTGAAATTAAGTGCAATAAACATTTTGTTGCTGGATCAGAGGCAGATTTCAGAGCTTCAGCATTCATCTCTCTTCGTCTTCTGCTCATCCATGTGTGACAGAGGGGATGTGTGCTCCTGCGAAGATTAAATGACTATAATTGTTGTCTTTGGAACGGCTTGTGAGTCTGCAACAAGGAGGCTAATAAGTCACCTGGCAAACCCTCAGATCTTGCTGGGAGTGTTTAAAGCAGCAAAGATAATCCTAAACTCTTGTCGAAACAAGTGTTATCTGAAATAACACAAGGTCACCGACTGCTTTGAGAGATGTATCGCAATTATCCCGACCTTCCTCCACACCCACTTTTGGTGGGGTTTTTTTTTCTCCACATAAATTATGGCTTACATTAAAGATGTAAAAATTTCTGGATTGATTTATGCTGGTTTATTTTTTTTTTTTTTTTTTTTTTTTTAGCAACATAGAAGCCATATCTTTTAATGGGGTTTGTGTTTACAAGTTTTATCCACACTATAACTGCGTATGTTAGAAATCTGCAACATTTGTTGTCCATCTCTCTCCTGTGTCCTCAGCTTGGCCTTAGATCTCGAATGCCTTCTTTTTCTGTCTCAGTGGTTAAAGGCTGTCACTTTTCTGCCTCTATGGTCTGTACTTGTGAAGGCTGTCTAGACACAGATGAGATTAAACAGGCTCTGACCCCTTTCCAGCTGCTTTTCAGCGTTCTTCAGTCCTCCACAATGAAACTGCAAGAAGACAGTCAGCACTTTTAAAATCCCCTTTTGTTTTACTGGACAGAGAAAAGGAGGAGAAACGGACATTGGATCAGAGCAAGTGACATCTTGAGAGGTCATTTGCTTTAATGCAGGAAAGTTCTAACTGCAGACGAAGCAGGGCTGACATAAACCAGGACAGATCTTCTATCACTGCTCTACTAATTGGTTTATTTTTGCAGACGATGGAGCAAAGCAGGTCACGGTATCTTGTGTTCTGGTCATATGTGAAACTGTGATTTCATCCCACACATGATAGGAGTGTGGCGTGAAACGGCCCGGATTTGTACGTCTCTTCTCTGAAGTTGGGGAAATGTATTTGTTTAAAAACTCAGCGTTTGTTTTACGTCTTTGTGGCTGCTTGTTTTGATTGAGACAGCTCGGCACAGCGCCGGCTCTCTGTGTCTTCTCAAAGCAGTAGATGAAAGCCTTTGCACACACCAGGACCATGGCAGGGTCACTAATTAGTAGCATGATCTAATTCTTATGAAGCTTGAATGCAAAAAAAAAGAAAAAAAAAAAAAAGAAAATGTCCAAAGTTCTTTAAGTACAAATTTTCTCTGGTTTTCTAAATAAGTAGATGTCTTTAGTAATTATGTCGCCATTCTAAACTACATTTCTAAACTTTTTTTTTTTTTTTGTCTGATATTTTCTTTATGTCTTGTAGGACACTGCCTCCTTAGGATCCCAGAAAGGGGGCATTTCCAAACACGGCTGGCTGTACAAAGGGAACATGAACAGTGCCATCAGCGTCACCATGAGGGTGAGAAAAGAGTGATGAAAACGTTCAAAGGCTGCCTTTTTGGGCTCTTCAGAATAAGTTTAATAAGAGAAACTCTGCTGACAAACACATCCAGATGTGAGAATCTTACTGCTGATTTAATACTTGCTTAGGAATTCTGACATTAATAATCGTGGAAAGTCTTCTTTTTTTTTGTCCCAGTTAATCACTGTAATGATTCATTTTCTAAGCTCAAGAGTGCGGTTTTATCCAGGATTTATTTACGTAAGGGATAATGTCTGCCAGGGTGCCTATTTTTAGGAATTAATGGATGAAGTTAAACAAACAGGATCGCAGTAGTGTTGCCTTTACAACAATATGGTCAGGCCCTTTCTGTGTGCTGTTTGCATGTCTTAACAATGCATGCATTGGTAATCTCCAGATACCAGACAGCAGTACAAAAGCATTTAGGTCAGATTAATTGGTTGACTAAACTGTGCTTATGTGTGCATGCATGTCAGTCTTATACAAGTCCCCTGCAGATATATTTGTAGTTAGTGTACTTTTTACATACTGCAACCATACATGTCGATGCATTTTATTTGGTATTTTATGCAATTACACAAGGCTTCATTGTTTCTCAGTGTGGTGTGCATTTTTATTCAGCCTCTCTCTACCCAGGAAACCCTGAAAAACATTAAATTGCCTAAATGGTAAATGGCCTGTACTGACTGAACACTAACACATATTGTGATGCAGTGGATTTTTATTGGCAAATTCTTTGTGGATGGATCTACAAAGACAAATGAACAAAATGCAACTTTTTTCTTTTCCAGTGACTTAGACCTGAATGTTGTTTCTTTCCATCATTTCAGTCGTTCAAGAGGCGGTATTTCCACCTTACGCAGCTTGGGGACGGCTCATACAATCTGAACTTCTACAAGGACGAGAAGATCTCCAAAGAGCCAAAAGGAACCATTTTCCTGGATTCCTGCATGGGTGTGGTTCAGGTACGCTCTGAATTCTTGAGGTCATCTCTGGCACAGAGACCCTGATTGTTGAGGCTTGCTGAACCCGAATGACCGTTGGCGTGTTTTCCCAAACAGGATATCCATGTTGGCGCCGTGTTTGCTAATGACGTAGCCCCCTCCCGTATGGGGGATTTAAAAGCCTGACAATACATGCAACCATTCTGGAAATTTCCTCGTTGCAATCCTCAACAGGATTAGCTTGAAGCATGAGTTGCAACAGACAAAGCTGTCAAAAGAAGTTGTTGACAGCTGCTGAAGACTGTCCTCTGCATTTTCATGAAAGCTGAGCTCTCTCCTCCCCAAGGTCGTGTTTTTCTGCTGACGCTCAGCCGGTGAAGCAAGGTGAATGCTGAGGCCTCACTTCCGAGCACTTTCCTCTGGCCTCTCAATCAATTCTGTGCTCTTCCATCTGATCATATGGAGAAAGCAATTCATGTGGGCATTTTCATATATCTATCATCACAGTTGATGGAAAGGAGGTCAGCTGGATGATTGGGATATGATCATAAGGGGGAGCAGGACTCTGGTATTTATCTTTAAAACCTTCAAGATGTTTAGAGCTTTTATCTTTGTGACTTATAACGTTACCTTCCTTTAGGTTTTCTTATAGCAACAAAATTGTATTTATGTCAATATTTGGCATAAAACAAAGGCTTAAACATCTGAAATGAAAGTAACCTTTGAAAAAGCAGAATAATAACCAGAAAGAAAAAAAAAAGATTTAAAATCCCTTTGACTATCTCCTTTCTATTCAAACCCCATTGGTGTCACTCTCAGAAAGAGTCTCTAAGAACACTGGAGAGTTTTTAGAGAGGTCCTCTGGCGTGTATCAAGTACAGTATGATGATGCACTCCTCGTTACGTGCATTGGAGTGTGAAAATTCCCAGATTGTCTGAGCATGCACAAAACTTCAGTGGTGAAATTCTCGTGGCTCAGTATTGTGGTGGCACCATGCCTGAGCGTTGGGTGCTGCGTGGAAAGAGCCTGGTCACAGGAGTGGTAGCTTGAGCGTGACATGTAGATCTGCGTGGCGTTGGCGTCAGATAATCTGAAGCAGTAAGTGACCAAACTCACTCTATGCCAAGACTACAACATGATCACACCCTCAGTGGGCCGTTTATGCTCCGAGTATAGCCTAGTTTGCTCAGTTCATATTTCTTGTGTTTTTCCGAGCAAACTTCAGAATCGCACGTCATTAAGCCACGGCCCACAGCTGTTTCCCAATAACTTGCTCCATGAGTAGACCTGCAGATGTTTATGTTGCAGCTGGAATGGCGTGTGAGATGACTTCATGCTGCTCTTCAGGCTGCTCCAACACTTTGGGAGGGAGCAAGCATTTGCACAAAAGCACTTTAAATTTGTCCTGTGTGGGTAGTGATCTCTGCTGACCAAGTCTGAGCTCAGAAATATAGAAAAGTATATAATGCAATCTTTTTTCTTATTTTTTTTTTTTAAATCAGGGACACTAACTTATTTGTGTAGCTGTGTTGTCTAAAAAAAATAGATGAGTCTTTCAACCTGTAGTGTTCATCCCGATTATGCCTGTTATTATCCTAGTTTTATTCCCGTCCTAAACACCCCCCTCATTATTCACTCTGCCTGCCACTGACTGTTCCTCCCTGTAACTCCCACTCTGTTGTTTTTTACTGTTCAGACAAGTAAAAGAAAATGACACAGAATAACAAAACGCCAAAGTGCTAACTTTAATGAGACAGCGCTTTCCCCAATCCTTTAGAGACTCCTAGCTAGTTTATTGGAATCCACAATAAATATCTGACCTCTGCAGAGCTGTCGTGTCACAAACAAACTGCAGCTGCTTTGGCCCCAATTGCTTCTGAACGGGCTGAAACTGAGAACCGCTAAAAGCCTAAAATGGGGCAGTGACATCACTCTTGGTGGCTGATTGAGGTCACATTTTGGCTGCAGGTAATTTTGCTTTCTGTAGCTGTTGAAGGTCAGTGCTGGACTCTTGCTTAGCTCCAACTTATTTCACCTGTGGTCCACATTCCTTCAAAGCAAGACTCACCTCTCGCTTATTTATGTAGAGAAATTGTTGATCCAGTAAACTGTGTGAACGTTTAGTAGATTTATGAACTTACAAAGCAAAGAGAGAGCAGCGAGGATGAGGGGAGGTATTGAAATGAACCAAGGCATGGTTTAAATCATAAAAAATAAACGTCTTCTGCCTTTTGCTGACTGGGTAGGAGTTTAATATTTGGATTGGACCCGGTAATAAAACATTCCACCTCCCCCCTACCCTGCAGTTTTGAGTCTGTTATCTGTGCAGAATATTACTTACCATTATTAATTTTTTTTTTCATGTTTTCATTGCATTATCTGTGCAGAACAACAAAGTTCGGAGGTTTGCTTTCGAGCTGAAGATGCAGGATAAGAGCACGTACCTGCTGGCTGCAGAAAGCGAAGCGGAGATGGAGGACTGGATCAACATGCTCAACAAGATCCTTCATAGCAGCTTTGAGATTGCCATGCAGGAGAAGAGGAATGGAGACATTCATGATGGTGTGTGTGTGTGTGTTTTTGATACGACAATGAGTATTATTTTGTGTACACGCAAATCTTTAACTTGAAAACTATCACAAAAATAGCTTTTTATGATAACAGTGATCAAAAGTATGTGAATTAAGTCAGCGTTTTATATTATTAAATCACTTTTGGTGAGTGAATTATGCTTTGTTTCCATGTTGAATCTTTAATCAATCAGTTTCTAAGCAAAATCACTTGTTTTTTAAGTTTCTGCTGTCAGAAATGTAAAAGATGAAGAAAGTCCACGCAGCTTGTACTGCTGTTTTCAGAATAGAAATAATTTTTCATACACCTGAATTATTAAATATATATCAAAATCTAACACTGAATCCCATTTAAAGTTTGGCAGCTTTGGTTGATGTTGGTCCTTGTTCGTATTTCTTCTTTGTTTTCTTCATTCTCTTAAGCCGATGAATACAATGTTGCGTAACCATTGACATGATGTGACCCTGAGTTATTTACATGATTATTAAGCAGCCTTTATTTCCTGGTTTGTTCCTCATTAGTCTTGATGTAACAAGGCTAATTATGCTTCCCAACTATTATCATTATTAGATTACCTTCAGAGATGCTGGATAATAATGATTCCTTATGAGTCCTAGCACTCATCTCCTCTGTTTTCCTAGTATATCCGTTTCTAATGTATAGTGTTGTTGGAGACGTAACACCAGACCACCCAGGCTTCTAAGGCTCACCTCCTGTCTCTTAGGAGGCTTAGGCTTGTAAGAGGGGAAAAAGCAACTGCTTCCCTGCAGAATGCTCCACTGATCTTTTTAACTCTTCAGCTTTTATTAATTATCCTCTGCTTTAGAGAAAGAGGATTGGGGGTCATTGAGGTTGAAAATATCTGGGATTTTTTTTTCTTTTTTTTTTTTTTGTAATATTCCTCTGAGACTTTCAGTGTCTCCCTTTCAGCCCCAATTCAACAGCTTCCACAGCTGAATTAGTGTTTACTAAGCCTTAACGTGTCAGGAAATGATTATGGGGGATTCACTTTGCCATCTCGGTGTTTTTTTTTTTTTGTTTTTCCACTGTGATTTATATTTTCTTATAGATGATGATCTTGGAAAGTCAGACAGTTCTTCTGGCAGCCTGGATAGCTTTCAGGTAGGTCCTACTTGTGCATTCAGCACAACACTTCTGGTACTTTTTAAAAAAGCAAAGAAAGAGAAACTCTTTTGCCACAAACATGTGTTTTCGTTTGGGATTTTGGGATCAAATGCCTGAGTTTGGCAGAGATTCGTGTGTTTTTGTAGATCAGATCTGACGTTTAACACAGAACTCCATATTTATTGGGACCTCTCATGAACGAGTAAAAATTTATATTTTACTGCAATGAGGCAGTCCCATCACATACAGAAAGCAGAGTGGTGTAGCTACTCTGCTTTCAGCCTCAAGTGAAACAAGTAACTTCTCTCGTCTTGCAGAGTATGTATATGCATCTAAGTGTTTTTTTTTGTTTTTTTTTTTTGTTTTTTTTTTTTGCAACAAGCACTTCACATTGGGTCTGGTGTAAAACAAAGAATAGAAACACCTGATTGCCCCCTGTTAGGTGTGATTGAAGGTGTATGATGCAGCAGGTCTGTTTCTCCTCCAAAGGTTCTGGAAACCATAATAATATGCAGGGGATGACAAATGCTTTCCAACCAGGACTTTTCAAAAACAAGTAGCCAAACTGGCACCAAAGCGTGTCACTAAACACCAGAAAGATTTCCATAAAACGGTTTAAAAATACTGACTCAAAGGTCACCGTCTTTTCATCTGAGGATCATATTCAGTGTCAACGTTTTACTGCGCCTCTAAACATTTTCCTGTGAAAAATCATCGTAGAACAAAAAGGAAAACAGGCCATTTTAAATTGGAAGCATCCAAAGGCATGCACACCGAAAAGAGTTCAGATTCAGACGTTTGAAGGGAAAAAAAAAACAAACAAAAAAAAAACTCTGATGCTGTTATTGCACTCAGTGCTGCATAATAGAAAAAACATATGCTTTTATAGATGTGGAAACTTCTGGATGAAAAGAGTGTGATTGGTGACACTCTGCTCCTGAGATGGATGCTGGCACCACATCAGTCTCGCCACCAGTCCCCATGTCATCTGTTAAATATGAAGCCTCGCTTCCAGCTGGGTGCAAATGGCAACAAAATGCTCTAAATGTAAAACCATCTGGGCATGAAACTTTGCGGTTTTTCCTCTGGTTTAGGCACTGTTCTTTTCCCTTATAGAGCACCAGAGATATTGAGTCAAGAATGAGGAGTGAAACCAGACTGAAGCTGTTCACAGTGGATCCAGACACGCAGGTAAGGCTCGGCGTGGTTTCACAATGAAACTCACACGTGACAAAGTATAATTTCAAGATAAAGGATCAAACTTTCCAATGCGCTGTCTGCAGAAACTGGACTTCTCAGGAATAGAGCCGGATGTCAAGCAGTTCGAGGAGAAGTTTGGCAAGCGGCTTCTGGTCAACTGCAACGATCTCTCGTTCAACCTGCAAAGCTGCGTGGCAGAGAACGAGGAGGGGCCGACGACAAACGTAACGCTTCAGAGTTCAGAACTGCCTCTAAGTTACAAATATACCACTGAGATGAATTAAATGGTGTGTCAGAGCAACCTGATGGGCTCTCAGTGCTGTCAAGATAGCAACCAGGCTGTTGGCTCAGGAATTTATAATGAAATCTGTAATCCTGCTGTCCCTCCTGGAAACTACTGTCCATTGAAGTCTTAACATTTTCTCTGTCCACACACGTAGAGGAGGAACTTTGATTTTTTGTTAATGTTAACATAAAGTACTTTTCATCTACCCACAAACAAAGGAATAACCAAAACCTGCCACATGGAATATGTAGCATTTGATCTCTAATTGTTCATAATGGCTCAGTGAAAATCATTTCCGTGTTAAACTATGCCTTAAATACAATATAGACCAAGGAACAAAGCAGATCTGTTGTGGATAACGTTGCGGTACACTCCATATCACCCTGAACACACAACCTGAACATATAACATGATGCCACATGGCATCATGTTATGCATGATCCATGATCATGCATAACATGATCCATCTCAAATGCTCCTTTGTGTTTTGTCTGCCACATGAATCCCAAAGTACATCATAATTCAAGGTTGTTACATGAGAAAGTCAGCAAAACAAATGAAAGAGGTATGAATATATTTTTTAAGATCATGCAAACGTGTCACTGTTTTATGGCATCTTGTGTGACGTTGCCTGGTTTAATCTTCAAAAACAGTTCAGTTTTACAGGACAGTGAGATCTCAGGAAACCTCATCATCACCTCGGACTGTTGCCTTTTGCAGGTGGAGCCTTTCTATGTCACTCTGTCGCTGTTCGACATCCAGAACGGCAGGAAGATCTCCTCTGACTTCCAAGTTGACTTAAACCACCAGTCTGTCAGGGGAATGGTTCCCAGCAACACCGGTCAGCATGTGAACGGAGGAGGTGAAGTCCGATCTGAGGGGCAGCGGTTTATCCACGGCGTGCCAGAAGCAGCTTTGCTGTATCCCAAACAGGTAGAGAGGAAGTTAAATCGTGGCTGCTAAAATTGGCATGACCAATCAAGTCTGACTTTTCTGCTTGTGCTGACAGGGGGTGTTTTCAGTGACATGCCCTCATCCAGACATCTTCCTAGTGGCTCGCATCGATAAGGTGCTTCAGGGGGGAATCAACCACTGTGCCGAGCCATACATGAAGAGTTCAGACTCCACCAAGGTAACGACGAGTTATTCACAGTCTCCCTATGAGGCATCACATTCCCCTAAACTCAGCAGGGTAACGTGCTGAGTTTAGCACGTTTACATCTTTTTCCTTCAATAATCATTCCTCTTTGTCAGAATTTATATTAGCTGTTCAAAATTAGAGCATGCAAGGAAGTTTAGGTAGTTTTATTTCAGACTATTCACCATTTGAAATTTGTTTCCAATTTGCCTGTGTTAGGTTAGGCAGCGCGCCGAGTTCTGTCTCAGTACTTTAAGTGCAATGGTGTCCACTCCACATGTGTTTAACATCTTAGTCAAGTGTCTCTATTTTCCACTAGATGGCACAGAAGGTCCTGAAAAATGCCAAGCTGGCGTGTAGTCGATTGGGTCAGTACAGGATGCCCTTTGCCTGGGCAGCAAGGTACTCTATTCTCTCTATTAAATGTGTCAACATTTCTCCTTATTTTTCTGATTTCAACCGTTTTCGAGGATGGGTTTTAGTTCACATCACAAATGTACCCAACAGTATTTCCTGATTTCAAGATGTTTTTTTTTTTTTTTTGGTTTCTCAGACCCTTGTTCAAAGACGCATCTGGGACACTTGACAAAAGTGCCCGCTTCTCAGCTCTGTACAGACAGGACAGCAACAAACTGTCCAATGACGACATGCTCAAGTTGCTGGCGGATTTCAGAAAGTGAGTAAAGTTTCTCTGAGCGTGCTCTGTTATTAGAACCTCTAAGTAATCACACAGATGTGCTGGGTGGAAAGTGTCTGGCCCCTGCAAAAATATTGCTTTGTCTTAGGAAAATCTCACCTCTGTTAATGCACTCGTACCTCCTTGCTAGAAGACCTGTCTGCTTCCTATTTAGTCTAACAAATCCTCAACTCAAGCTTATTTTCCTTTTCACAGACCAGAGAAGATGGCCAAGCTGCCTGTAATCCTTGGAAACCTTGACGTTACCATCGACAGTGTTGCCCCCGACTTAACGAGTAAGTCCTTTGGGGTTTAGCAGAAGAGATGAAAGCTGCTTTTCGTCAGAACATAACGGCTCTCATTGTCTGCTGGCTGTTTATCAGCTCTTGTCTCTCCTGCTTCTCCATCTAGATTGCGTTACTTCATCCTACATTCCTGTGAAGCAGTTTGATGTCAGCGAGAGGAGCAGTGTGTTTTTCGAAGTGGAGGAGTTTGTGCCGTTCATCGCCAAATGTTCTCAGCCTTTCACCATCTACAACAATCACCTCTACGTCTACCCGAAGCACTTGAAATATGACAGCCAGAAGTCATTTGCAAAGGTAGCGCCATCGAGTTGCTTCTTTGTGGGTTTATTTATGCAGTTGTGGGAAGCAAAGAAGTGTTAAAAATGTTTAAGGTGTTGTCAGAGTTGCAGTTCTTTCCAAGTTGCTTTTAACTGGGCCACTTTTGCTTTCTGTGTCTTTAATCAGGCTAGAAACATAGCTGTCTGCATTGAGTTCAGGGACTCAGACGACGAAGAAGCTGTTTCACTTAAGGTAAATATTCTCAAGAGGTGGAAAGTGAATCTCCATAGAACTGTTTCTGCAATTCACAGAACTTTTCTTCCTTTCTCAGTGCATCTATGGGCGACCTGGAGGACCCTTGTTTACCAAAAATGCCTTTACCTCAGTATTACATCACCAGCACAACCCCGAGTTCTATGATGAAGTAATAAAACTCACGACTAGCCCATCAAATATACCGTTAAATGGAAGGAAAACCCGGCACTAACACGTTCACTTGTGCTCTTATGGATTAGTTTAAGATCGAGTTGCCGACACAGCTCCACGAGAAACATCATTTGCTGTTTACCTTCTACCATGTGAGCTGTGACAGCAACAGCAAGGCCAGCACCAAGAAGAGAGACGTGGTTGAAACTCAAGGTAGTGCTCAATCCCTAACTTCTACATGCAAAAGGCAATTCCTGTTTAATGCCGTCACCCTGTAATGTTCACACGCCTCTAAGACATTCCTTCTGGAAGCCGTGCTTCATCTGCAGTTTCCATTTTCTTTTTTGTAATTAGTCGCATCACCATTAAGCCAATATATAAATAGTTTATCAAGCCTGCTTCAGATGTTGGCATACATTATTTTTATGGTTGTTAAAGAAGAACCATAATTATATGACGTGCACTACAATGGCTTGCAGATGTATGCATACTCCTTGAAGTTTTTCACGTTTTTCCACAAGTAGTTTTGGACAAAATGTGGGGGGAAAAAAAAAAAAAAAAAAAAAGTACAAATACGTTTGCACGTAACCGTGGATAGTTTGTTATTCGCAAACATAATTTAAAGAAAGAAAAAGTCTGACAGTACGACCCTTGGCTCTACTCATGAAACTCAGGCCTACAGTTTAGGGGAGGAGGGCCGAAAAGGGATTCAGTCTTTAAGCCCGTCTGCGTTACTGTTGTTACTGGCAACCACTGCAAAGCTCATGTTGTTTTCCTCTGTATCTGCTCTCAGTGGGATACGCCTGGCTCCCTTTGCTGAAGGACGGCCGGGTGATAATGAATGAACATCACATCCCTGTTGCTGCTAACCTTCCTGCTGGATACCTCAGCTGTCAAGAGGGCGCCAGCAAGGTAGAGCTTTCCTCACGGTCTGCAGTAATGCTACCTGTCTCACACACACACACACGTTTCTGTAACGTTGTTATTTTTTAACGCTATTAAAGTTCTTAAGTATTTACTTCATGTCATTGTTTCTACATTGACACTAATAAAACATGAGTTGTCATTTTGCTCATCTTTACAGCATTTGAGTCCTGAGGTCAAATGGGTTGATGGAGGAAAACACTTGTTTAAAGTGTCCACACACCTAGTGTCCACTGTGTACACTCAGGTTTGTCATAAAACAACCCTTGAGAAGTAAAACTGATTATTTGTCAATTTCATGTCATTTCGCAGTTGTTTTTCTTTACAGTAATGCAGCTATGTGCAATAAATTTTTAGTGCTTGTTTGTTGTTTTGTGCATTTCAGGATCAACATTTGCACAACTTTTTCCACCACTGTCAGAGTGTCGCATCAGCAGCACAAGGACCTGGAGGAGAACTGGTCAAATACCTGAAGGTACTCACTGTCCAAAATTAACATTTTCTTACTCAAGGTGATGCAAGATGTTATTGAAAGAAAAACGTCTGTTTTGTTTTTCTAAATTACAGCGCCAAATGAGGTCATCAGCACATAAAAATATAGTTTGGTGCAATTATAGATACTGTTTAACACTGCATTAGACACTGGTGTAGCCAAGTAGCCCACTTGATAAAGGGTGTAGCTGTAATTTCCTTAAAGGCCTCACAGGGATCCAGACATTTGGGAAGCAAAGCACAAAACGTCTTATTGAGGTGTTACTACTATGTGCTTTAGCTGAATGTGATCAAGATTAAATTTTTCAACAAAAATGTGGTTTGAGCAAGGAATGAATTTGTGTAAAAACACCTCATAGGTATTCAAGTACAATGTAGGATCTCATGATACTGTGGGATGGTGTGTCTTTAAGAGATTTTAAGGACTTTGTTAGGGTGCATGGCATTTGAGGCATTACAAAAAAAAGGGCATTTTACACTTAAATCTGATTAACTGTACCAACAAACCAAATATTGGTTGACACTGAGTCCACAACAAAGGTTTCACACACTAAAAATCGAAAGAAAGAAAAAATATTCCTTTAGAAGATGATTTTATCCTGAGAAACTTCTAAGTTTGGTACAGTTTAAGTTTGGTCTTGGAAGAAACACAAATACAGTTACATCTGCAAAACAAAAAAGGCTTAGCTGTCAATACAGAATTTGTTTACTTTCATAATTTCCCCCACAGAATAAATTTGAAATCTGTCCTCCACTGGTTTGCATTGCTCTTCTCTACTTTTTTGTTTACGGCGTAAAGATCTTGGTCTTTCCTCTTTCCATCAGTCAGTATCAGTTCATGGAAACCTTAGCTTACTGTTCCCCTGCTGAACACTGACACAGAAAAACAGCATCTGCTGCAGTGCATACCTTCATTTTAAATGTAAACTCAGCTATGCATATGAACAATGGCCAGAGGTCCAAACCACAGGTCAGCTGGAGCAAAAGTGTGCATTAACAGAGTTTTCACCTTTGACCTCAGTTGTTATCGATAAACCCCAGAATCAGAGGTGCGGCGATTATGATTTTGTGGCTAACTTGAATCAGGAGCATAACCAACATCAGACCATTTTAAAACTGAAAAATGTGGGGATGGTGTTTTAAATTATCTGGCATCTTATACTGGCAAATTATGCTTTGTGATCCAATGCTGTGTGTATTTAACTTGTCACACAGTTACATTTACATAATAAATTGGGGTTGACTGCATTTCAAGGACTGAAGAGAGAAATCATCATGATCATCGGATTGGATTGATTTGACTATCGATATGAAATTGATCTGTTTGCCTTTAAAATCCCTTGAGATGGAATTCGTTGTGTATTTGTGCTGTACAGTTGCCTTTAAGATAATCAATCCCAAAATTATCTAAAGCCTTACTCTGTAACCCTTAAGAAGTTGAAAGTTTACAAAATGTAAAACTGTGCTGTAGTAAGTTCAGCAAATATATTCACATCCTTCACCTTTTACCCACAGAGTTTGCATGCCATGGAGAGTCACGTGATGATCAAGTTCTTGCCAACTATCCTCAATCAGCTGTTTCGAGTGCTGACCAGTGCCACACAGGAGGACGTAGCAGTAAATGTTACAAGGCAAGAGTTTTCCACGTATTTCATTCAAATTCAATGAATATTATTGATTGCTGATATCCCGTCAGTATTATAACAGTGCACCTAAATTCCCCTACAGAAAGGGGAAATTTACTGTGATTTTTATACAAGTTATTGTTGAAAAATAAATCTTATCACACATGCTGCCTTCTGCCTCTTTGTCTGTTAGGGTCATGATTCACATCGTAGCTCAGTGCCACGAGGAAGGCTTGGAACACTACCTTCGCTCTTACGTGAAGGTAAAACCCGAGAGATCTCTCAGTAAAACTGGATTTTATTTGAATGCTGCAGAACTGACCGTTTGCCTGTGAATGTGTCTGATCCAGTTTGTATTCAGGACCGAGTCGTACACTTCCTCCACGACCCGAACAGTACATGAGGAGTTGGCGAAAGCCATGACTGTAATCCTGAAGCCTTCCACCGACTTCCTGACGAGTAACAAGCTGCTCAAGGTGGACCTCCGAAACATATGCGCTTTGGGAAGCAACAAGAGTTAAAAAGTTTGTAATTTTCCATGTTTTTTTGGCTGTCTGTCTTGCAGTATTCATGGTATTTCTTTGAAGCCTTAGTCAAGTCCATGGCTCAGTACTTGATTGAAAGCTGCAAAGTGAGGGTAAGTTTAACTCAGACGTATCTGCTGATGTTTTCTTGGCTGTAGTCAAAGTTAGCAGTAATCAGAGCTTTTATACAGCTTTGACACTACAGTTCTACTACTTCCATAGTGAAAAAAGACACAACATGTATGATTAAATAGTACAGTCAGAGGAGCATTTTTAGACAGAAAACCTAACTTTTCCAATCTACTTTGTCGGTTCTACACTTTCTTCATCACGAGAAGAAATAAAGCTGACTACTATTAATTTTCCAACCTGGATGCGCGCTTTATTTTATTTTATTTTATTTTACCATTTGTGCTCTTCAGCTGTCAAGGAATCAGCGGTTCTCTGCTTCTTTTCATCACACTGTGGAAACTTTGGTCAACATGATGATGCCACACATCACTCAGAAGTACAAAGACAACCTGGATGCTGCTCGCAATGCCAACCACAGCCTAGCTGTCTTCATAAAGGTGCACTTAAGACAATAAAGATTTACTTTTACTGGTGTGGCTTCTCTCTCTTCTGTGCATCTGCATAATTACGCAATTTATTTGATTTGTTCTACAGCGCTGCTTCAACCTGATGGACCGAGGCTTTGTGTTTAAGCAGATCAACAACTACATCAACGGCTTCATGCCCGGAGATCCAAAGGTACTTTGTTGCAGATGACGTCTTTAGTAGAAACAAACTGCAGTCCAAGATCTCTCAGGACTCTGGTTAGTTGTAATTGCATTAAGTGCAGATTTTTTTGGTCTTTGTCTCTTTCTTAATGCAGACGCTGTTTGAGTTCAAGTTTGAGTTCTTGCGCGTTGTGTGCAATCATGAACACTATGTTCCCTTAAACCTGCCAATGCCATTTGGAAAAGGGAGGATACTGAGGTTTCAAGGTGAGAACGTTTCAGGTGCTGTGCCTTGTAAATGTATGTTTAACACTGCAAGTTTTCCACATTTTCTGTATGGCCAGGACTGCAACAAGTTAATATCGATTAATTATTTACGTAGATTTTAATGGTTCAAAGTTTCTTACACAATTGCTTTTTTTTTTTTTTTTTTTACAAACTAAAGTTCCAGCTGGAAAATCCTGATAAAATACATTTAACCTTGTTGGATGTGGAAAAAACTTTAAGGGTTTTAAATATTTCTGAGAGGTGATTAAAAAGCTTTTGCACTATAAATAACAACTAGAAACTGTTTTGAAATGGACCCATCAGCATTTCTTGCAGGTATTTATTTTCGTTTGCCTCAATTATTTGTATTGTCCTCAGATGATACAGAGGAGTCTGATGATACTCCAGTAGGTAGGTGGTTGGAGTCCTCCCTGCATGTTGTCTCCAAATAAAGCAGATTTAAATGTGATCATTCATCAGTGAAGACGGTGTGGCTATAAGAGAGATTCAAGAGCCATTTTTTTCTGTAGCTGCTGAAATTTCTGATGTCTTTTTAAGACTTGCACAAATAAAATGCAGGTTTTAAAAACGTTAAGGCTTCTCTCATCTGCAGTGTTGTTTGAGTGCATATGTGGATAAGCCGGGTTCTGTTCGGTCTTGAGTTTGAATCGTGTCTTTCCACACTCTTGACGTGAAACACAGGCCGAAATCAGTCAAACCTGAACATGCAAGCTTGTCTCTCTGTCTGCTTCTGTTTCATGACAATCAGTTGTTTCCCAGGATGGTCCGCAGTTTCACGGTTCTAATCAAATTTACATTGAATCAGATGTTCACTCTCGCTGTCTGGGATTGATTGTGGCTTCATGTCCTTCTGTAAGCTTAGTTTCCTGCTCGCTCCAGGCTGTAACAAAGTCGTCATCAACCTCTCCCTGCCCCACAGATCTGCAGATGGATTACTCTCTGACAGAGGACTTCTGTAGGAACCACTTCCTGGCCGGACTTCTGCTCAGGGAGGTCAGTGCTGCTCTGCAGGAGTTCAGGGAGATACGGCAGATAGCCATCCAGGTTCTGAAGAGCCTCATGATTAAACACACATTTGATGACCGCTACTCATCCAAGGTATGACGTATGATTTCAGAACGCTCATCTGACTCTTACATTTTCACTTGTATGCGCAATGATCGTGCTAAATATTCTTTTTTTGTTTTGTTTTTAGAGCCAGCAGGCCAGATTGGCCACCTTGTACTTCCCCTTGTTTGGTCTGCTTCAGGAGAACGTCAACAGGCTTAATGTAAAGGAAGTCTCCCCATTCCCTGTCAACCACTCCAACAATGTAAGAGAGCCACCTAGTGGCTTATTTTGAGTATTGATTTCCATCCATTCAAAACATAAACATAACAAATGTAAAGTAATGCAAACATTAAATTAAAACACCTCTGCGTTATAAATTTCATAAATGGGTCAGAAAGAGAAGAAGTGCACTAATTACGGTAAAAAAAAAAGGAAACAAAATGAAAGTGAAGAAATAAAGTTCCCACATCAGCTTTGGTAATTAGTTCTTGAATTTCAATTAACTTTGGTTGATTTATGTATTGCCAGTGCACAACAAATGCTGTCTCAAGGCACTTAAAATATATAAAAAGTTAAATTTTACCGACCTTATTGATAGATTCCAAGTCAATTGCAGACAGTGTTTTTTTTTTGTTTGTTTGTTTGTTTGTTTTTTTGTTTTTTTTTTGTTTTTATGTTTGTCACACGTGGTTTTAGATCATGCAAAAAAGCAACATTGAATATATCGGTATATATAACCTTACTAAAAACAAAAAGCTTTCTTCAGAACAGATACATTTTATTGATTGTTTTTTTTTTGTTTTGTTTTGTTTTTTTTCGGTAACACTTTATTTGACAGGCTGTCCTTATGAATGTCTATGACAGTTGTCATGAAGTGTCATTAGTTAAATAATGATACTTTTAATGCAAAAGTGCTCTAAACGTTGCATTGAAAGTCCATTAAAAGTGCCAACGTTTCATTAAATTATCATTATTTACAAAATCATGCAAAGTTGGCACTTTTAGTGGACTTTGAATGCATCTTTTAAAGCAACTTTGCAATAAAAGTGTCATTATTTACCAAATGACACTTCATGACAACTGTCATAGACATTCATAAGACTCGTTCATGTTCATGACAGGTGCTATGCCATGTTTATGACAGTGTCATGTCAGTCTCATGCACACCCCTTCAATTAAAGTGTTACCTTTTTTCTTCTTTTGATTGTCTTTTTTTTACTCAGAACGGACGAGACGATTCGCTCCTGTCAAATGCCTTGATGACACCTCCTAGGTCCAGCACATTTCTGGACACCAGCTTGCACAAAGATGTTTTTGGAGCTATCTCGGGCACAAGTAAGTTAAGAAAACAAAAAACAAAAAAAACACAAAAAGAAACATTATTTAATTTATTCAGGGGTCCTACCCAGTTTAAAAGTGTCTAGAATTTACTTTTATTGTTTCCAGGTTTTGAATTGCTATAAAAAAATATTTTATTGATAATTTTTCTCTCTTTAATTTTCATAAATGTCTTGTGACAGTAAATAAGTATGTTGTGTTTTTTTTTTATTTTATTCAAATGATATTCTTTCTTTGTTGTTATCATATTATGTAAGGAGTTAATATTGTACATACTAGTAATTGTCATTTAAAAAGGAACTATTTTCCTCACCTTTTCAGACTGATAAAGGAGCCATCATCTTGACCAAAATTTAAAGCAATTTTAAATTCAAGTTCAGTTGAAATATAGGAACAAATGTTTACAAACTTTGCTTTATAGAGTCTGTTCACGAAATGTTAGTCCTTACTCCAAGTATTACTGATATTTTAAACCAGAAGCCATTAAAAAAAAACAAAAAAAAAACGTTCCATATCAAATTCAGGATCTCGTTTCAGCCTTATGAGTTCTCCCGGTTTTTCAGACCCAAACTTAATGAGAACAAATTGCTATTAAAGAAGTTGAAAGTTAATAATCCTGTAAACAAATAATTGCTAAAACTCCTGGGTAAAGTAGGATTACTGAGCTTATGTAGAATTTTTAAGATAAATAAGATAATGTGCAGGAACTTTAAATGATTCCTGATAACAGCAAATGCCTGTTTTTTATTTTTTATTTTCCCCCATCAGCTTCCCCTCATGCAGCGTCCACCCCTAACGTGAACTCTATGCGCCACACCGACTCTCGTGGCTCCCTCATCAGCACAGAATCAGTCAACAGCCTCCATGAGAGGAACCATGACAAAACCAATTCTCTTGACAAGGTATTCTACTTAATTCAATCTTTTTAAGGCATCCATCATTTACTGCATTGCACTTTGCTGAAGTTTCACATACTTCCCAGGTTTAACAAATAAAAAAAAAACCTGACAGAGAAAGTGTTTGTTAACTCTACCCTCAACATCCTGCCTTCGCTGTTCGATCCGCCACAGCAAATGGAGAAGTTTGTGTGGAGACATTCTGTCTGGCTGCCTCCCTTTGTGGGAACTGAGGACATAGTGTGTTCTGTTCACACCAAGCGAGCCACCGTAGACCTCGCCCTGCTCACCGTCCCCTGCATCCCAGAAATCCACCTGCAGCCCATCAGATCTCTTCAAGTATAATTCTTCTTCACACCTCCAAGGAGTGTCCCATCTGGGAATGTTGGCGTGTGTCTCGAATGTCCTACTTCCCTCAAGCTGTCGCTGTTTCCTTGCCAGAGGATTTTCTGACTTTCATGTTTGGTCTTGTGGTGTAAAGTAGGTCTGTTGCATCATAAAGTTTGCTTTATTGCCCTATGTCCTTTTTCCCTAGTTTCCTACAGAGCTTTAAAGCCTGAAATTAAAACTTTCCAGATCTGTAAACGTGTTAGGAGAAAAGCTGGGCATGTAGTTTTCAGATCTTATTCACTCCTCAAATTTCTAAAAAACAAAAATGCAGGGATGTTTTTATTATAATTAATTAATAACTATTTATGATATATTTACAGACTGGAATTAATATAAGCAGTTTGAAGTGGTCCAGAAAATGACCCTGTGTTTTTTTTTTTTTTGTTTGTTTGTTTTTCTTTCATAGTTTCGGGAACTGACTGGCCGATTTAACATCCACATTACTTTGCCTTCGTCTGACTGTAACATTGACCTCGCTCTTCTCAAGTGACAAGTTAAAACTGCAGGAAGCTGCTCCAGTTGAATCATGCTGTCCACAAAGTCACCCACCTCCAGTTTTAGTCTAGACTGAATGCTCTCAAAGGGACATGTGTGGCATTATTTCCCAACCCTGTCTGTGGTACAGCTGTTTTTAACCGCTATGGTTAAGTTTGCTGTCTGCTCTCTACCTCGTCTGGGAGTATGGTGTTTGCTTAAAGCCACAATTCCCAGTAAAAACATGAACTATTCTCGCCAATGATACTGTTTCTGCAAGTTAACAGCTTTCCCCCTGGCAGTGAGAGCATGTGCCCTAATTACACCATAACCGTTTAGTAAAAGAGATAGAAATTAATTTTTCCATGTCTAATGCAACATGTGCTGCCATCGAATGCTGGCACTGACTTTATGAGTGCAAGAAATGGTTGCGGTAAGACAACAGTTTACATGGAAACTGAATTAGTCTGCGAGACGTAGAGGCTGAAATTCAGTGCGGTTTAAGTGGTGATGTGTTGATGACCTAAAACTGCCCCAGCCTCACTTGCTCAACCTACTTTACTGTCTGAACTTCATCTTTATCAGATTCAGACCACAACAAACAGACTTTAGTGCATCTTGCTAAACTTGCCAAGTGTGATGCTTACTATGTACGCCTAAAGCCCAAGAAATCTGTTAACCGTTACTGGGCCAGAAATTTCTCCAAATTTCATGTTATCTTGATACCAAAAAAAAAAAAAAAAATGCATTTTCATGTTTTTTGCTAACAAATGAAAATTTCCTGTATCTCATTCTGGATTAAAGAGAAAATATCAATTTAAATTTTGATCAGTCAAGGTGAATTATTTTGACCTATAGATAGATTACATTCAATCTAGATCAAATATAACACTGAGTAAGATACCAGCTCAAGCATTAGCCAGCTTCTATGGACAGTTATATTTGCACTGTACAATACAGGGGGTGGGCACATTGTTTTACTTGGTAGAAGAGCAATATAAGCCATATTTGTGACACAAATGGCAGATGTACTGTTTTTTTTTTTAGGTTTGCACCACCTCATGACACGGTGCCACCTGGGGCAAAGAGCAATTTCTCTCATGTGAAAAGCCATTACTCCATAATTGTCTAGTTTGGCTTGTCTTGATATATTTAAATAGAGAAATGAGCAAATCTGTGAAAAAGAATATTGATTATTTGTCTGGCACCACTGAAACACTCCTTGTTTTCTTGTCTCAGAACCAACCTGCCTCGACCCTGGGAAGCGCCTTGATGCGATGTGATAAACTGGACCAGGCAGAGATCAAAAGCCTCCTCATGTGTTTCTTACATGTGCTTAAAAGCATGTCTGAAGGTAAAACGAGAAGCCCTACTCTGCGTTTTAAATACACGAACAAACAAGCTGTCTCACCGGTTTCGGTATTTTCTTTCCCTCCAGATGCTCTGTTCACATACTGGAACAAGGCTTCACCTGCTGAACTGATGGACTTCTTTATCTTAATTGAGTGAGAGAGGCTTGTCTTGACTGTTAAAACACGTTGGAGTTGTAAGTGCTTATAAAATGTGTGATGGTTGATTTTTCTCTTCCTTTCTTCAGAGTCTGCCTCCATCAGTTCAGATACATGGGGAAAAGATACATTGCAAGGTAATGTTGCAAAGTGTTCTTGCTTTTTGGTGCCTCATTATTATGAAAGAGAAAGGTGTTAGTTTGTTTCTTTACAAATAATAACGTAGAGGAGCAGACACTCATCACTGGTATACATTTTTAAATAATTTGGAGCTTGTGCTTAGAGCAGCTTCACTGATACTGAAGATTGAGAACTAGGCATCAAAGTTTAAATTCATTGTGAATTCTGTGCTCACACAAAGTTCACAAAATTATACATGCAGACATCCCTACTAGATGTTTTAGAAAAGCATCACAGGTCCTGGCGTAATTCTGGCTGGATATTTGATCACTCTTCTGATCAAAAACGGTCAAATGCATTGATAGCATAGTTCAGAAACAGGGCTGTGATTTTGTGTTTCTGCACTCAACAACCCACAAACAAATGCTGTTCTAAAAAATTAAAAATAAAATAAAATAAAAACATACCAATTATTATATCAACAAACTAGTTGAATAACTTTACCTTATTGTTGGACAGATTCTGTTAACTGATCTACTCATGAAAGCAAATGTAAGAAAAAAAAAAAGGTTAAAATAGCAATGCTATTGGCGCAATTATTTTTGGTGCTTTTTGTAAATATCAATTAAATTTTATCTTAGTTGCAATAAAATTATGATCCTCATCGTGATGCAACATGTTCATGCTATAGAAAATAAATAGAAACAATTCCAGCCTGGAAAAAAACATCTCAGACAAATCACGGAAAGTTCCAAATTAACATGAGATTTATGCCTATGATGAGTGGATGTACACTTCTGTGTCACTGATTATCCAGGTTCAAGTCTGAAGTCAAATATTATGTTTGTAAAGTATAAGTACTTGCAGGATTCAGATGTATCTGAAAACTCCTTCATTCTCTTCTCTTCATATTTGGGTGTTTTGGCCTCCATTCTCAGAGGCCTTCATTCTCTCTAACCTGCCATCACTGTTTCTATCTCTATTCACTCAAACGCTGACAAGTTTAACATACTGATATAAAAGCTGGCTCCTGCCCTCTACCTGCTTGGGTAAGCTAAAGGGGGAAATGATTTCCTCAGACTGACTGCATGATATTTTTCATTGCAGTGCTGTGACATTTCTTTGGTTTTCCACCTTCGCCGCCTCTCGTTCTCTCATGCATGGCTTAAGCTTTAACTTGCTGTGTTTTAATGCTGTAACATGTTTCACCCTTGGCTGCATGTTAAACATGCACTCATGGTCACAATTTTGACTTCCTGGCACATTTGAGTGCTGCTTACACCTCTCGGGTGTGTAAAAATGACAAATATTCACCATGACCTGCTCCACGAACCCTGGTCCCGCTGGCTTTTCCAGCTCTGCGTCTAATTTATCCTGTTTCCTCATCAGGAACCAGGAAGGGGCAGGACCCGTAGCACATGAGCGGAAGTCTCAGACTCTGCCTGTGTCCCGTAACAGGGCGGGAATGATGCATGCCCGCTTACAGCAGCTCAGCAGCCTGGATAACTCATACACTTTTAACTACAGTAAGTGCCATCAACCATGCTCTACCAGTAGACCCTCCTCTTACTCGTCATCTCATTTAGTCTACCCCCCATGCTTCTCATTATCTTCTTCATCATCCTCTGTCAAACTCGATCAGACTTCTAGCAGAAAAACATTTCAGGAAAATATCTCTAAACTCTTTTAGAGCTGGGTAAAGGCAGCTTTATGTTAATCAAAGGGGAGTAAGGTGGGTATTTTTATGAAAAGGCATCATTTAATACAGTTTCTTTGTGTTTTCAGTGTAAGAAAGATTTCAAGTATACTTGGAATATCTGTAGAACATGGTAAGAATGTGACAGGTTGCCAGGATATTTGTTGCTTACTTCATTTTTAAAAAAATAAATAAATAAAGCATGCCTATTTTAACTTCAAGTTTAGCTCTCTAAATCTTCTCATCCTCTGCACAGCTCATCTGCTTTTGACTTTTTCCCATTTTGGAAAAGAAATCCATAAAAAAAAATGCGAAGAGTTTCATTCCAAACTGGATGCTGTTTGAGGAAATTGTTCAGTTTTCCTAAAAATAATAATAATAAAAAAAAATAAAAATAATTGTGGACCCCTTTTTGTACCATTTGTACCACTCTTATGCACTTCCACATTAGACTTCTAGGCAATCCATTTTGCAGCAACGTTGCTCCATAGTTGAGACCTGCTTCTGGTAGAAATAACGTATTGGAGTCATATAGCCATTTAAATCATTAGTAAAACACACACACACACACAAAAATCACTTCAAATTGTCTGTTGTCAAAGCGTAAAAACATCCTGTGACAGATTATATTTTGTACCCAGAAGAGTTGAGTAAAAAATTGCAAAATGGCAAGCAGCTGGTCTGACTGGAAATAAAATCCATTATGACAGTTTGTAGGCATAAACATGAATAAATATTTTATTTTCACTGACAATGCTGGGAGTATGTTCTCTTAACTCTCTAAATGTGGAGGTCGGTAATCAATACTTCATGCCTAACATTTTCCTGTAGACTCAGGGTTTTGGGGAGCCAGGGTTGTATTTAAGGGCTAACCGACCCTTGTTTAACCAGAGCAAGAGGTTTGTTTGCATTTTTGGCACAAAGTGGAGCTTGTTCTCAGGGCCAGGGCTTCCCCATGTCCCCTCAAACGTGCTGGTCTGTGGAGAAATCACGTATCATAGTTTACAAAACTATGATACGTGCTGCTAGACATGTATGCTGTCTAGCAGCATTTTCTTCTATCTTCTATTAAACCTCACCAGCTTTTTTAAGGGCTTAGCTTGCAGATGATTTAATTGATTTGTTTTGATTGCAATTTTTCCACCACTAGTCAATAAAACATCCCCTCAGATGCCGATGCCCCTTCACCAAATTGTCACTGATGTTCTGATAAAACGAAGCCATGTGTTGAAATTGAAATACTCTATTGTTCCAGAGGGCCAATGACTTTCCAGCAGTCTATAAATTATTTACACACAACAATGAACACTGACATGAAGGGCATAAAAACAAAATGTGCAAAATTATATCAGGACTCCAAAAAACACAATTCATCTAGAGTAATTAAAAAAAAAAAAAATCTCAACAATAAAAGACTTCGAGTTGTGGTTTGATCTTGCCTTTTTGGGCACAAGTAAACATCATTCCTGATGTTAGAGTCGTGAACTCGGTGTACAGAGGATACCAAGCTCCTTTAGGTAGCGATATTTCCCTGCTAGTGACTGAAGACCCGATTAAGGTCTCTTAAAATACCACCAACAATGTTTGTGAAGACCTGAGCTGTTCTCATCGACCTCTCTTTATTAACCTAGTCCTGCTAAGGTTGCCTATCTAGCTTACCATTCCAAAAGTTAAAATGGATTCCTTTAAAGGAAAAATAAACTATTCCCAAAAGAGATGGATCAGCATTACAACCATTTTATTTACCAAAAAATAGAAAACAGCCTCTGGATGGCCTTCTAAGAGATGGAATCGTTGTTAACCTCATAAGTTATCTTATTGCCCAGAATGCTGGACAAATTCTTATGCTGTCTACCATTATTACATCTTGGTACAATCATAGGCTGATTTCTTTAAAAATCAATCACCATTTTTTTTTTTTTTAGTTTCCAAAAGGATGAGTTGTTGCACCATGAATTGGACTAGTCTACAAAATCATCTTCCTTGTCCTTCAAGAGTTTAATGATTACAGTCGTCTGCAAATTCAATGATGAACTTTCACTCGTTTTGGCTCTGACACACATCAGCATAAACAGACATCCCTCAGGTGAACCCATTGAGAATGCCATTGGCTTTGAAAAAGTGCTGTCACCACATGTTCTCTGTGAACCAATGAAAACACAGACCGTGTGTTTTCCTTGCCTGATGAGCAATTTTGCACTGCAAAGAATAAGAATTTTTGGCTTTCGCTTGGAATGAAACTTTTATGTTCAACATCATTAAAGAAAACTTCAATCGTTTTTAGCATCAGCTTTGCCTTATATAGATAACCTCTGATGTAAATAGCATTTCTTGGCAGAGTTTAATGAAGAACTTGGAAGCGCTACAGCATTTGTGTTTCTTTTCAGCCTACAGTCACTCCGATGCGGATGTGTTGAACCAGTCGCTGCTGGAGGCCAACATCGCCACTGAAGTGTGTCTAACAGTCCTGGACACTCTCAGCATCTTCATCATGGGCTTTAAGGTATCAGATCAAAACACCTGTCGGGCGCCATGGCCAGAATTATCTGCATTATCTGAATTAGCGGGTCATTCCTTGTTTCCACGCAGACACAGCTCTGCTCTGACCACGGCCACAGCCCGCTGATGAAGAAGGTGTTTGAAGTCCATCTCTGCTTCCTGCGCATCAATCAGTCTGAAACAGCCCTGAAGCAGGTCTTCACATCACTGCGCACTTTTATCTACAAGGTCTGAAGAACGTTTGGTGCCCTACGGAATGATGGTTTGTTTGTTTTGACCAGACAGTCATGGCAGAGGGTAAACCGGTCTTGCCTTCTTTCCACAGTTCCCATGCACATTTTTTGAAGGCCGCGCAGATATGTGCGCGGCCTTCTGCTACGAGATCCTGAAATGCTGCAACTCCAAGCTGAGCTCCATTCGTAGCGATGCGGCCCACCTGCTGTATTTTCTCATGAAGAGCAACTTTGACTACACAGGTCGCAAGTCCTTTGTCAGAACACACCTGCAGGTGAGACGGCTTTTCTGTCGACCTGAATTATCTACATTAAACCTTTTTGTCTTGATTTCAATCTATAGCTTTGCACGCATGTTTTATATATTCCTTGCTGCAACTAAACTGCAATTCGATCTCCCTACATGCTGATTTAATAAAAGATGCTTCTCACAGCTGATTTCCATAGGTTGTGTGTCATGTTTTTTCATAACTCTTATGTTTTGTAAAGCTCAACAGTTGCTTTGTTCTTATAATCATGTGTTTCTGCTTCAGGTGGTGATTGCTGTCAGTCAGCTGATTGCTGATGTGATCGGCATTGGAAGCACCCGCTTCCAGCATTCTCTGTCAATAATCAACAATTGTGCCAACAGCGACAGAAGTATCAAGGTGAGGAGCTTCATAGCAAAAAGGATCAAATTAAGCCTTATAATACCTTGAAAAGTGTTCATACCCCTACAACTTTTACACCACAAACTTCAGTGCGTTTTATTGGCATTTTGTGCTAAACAGCTAACAGAGTACTGCATAAATTATAATAATAATACATCAAATGTATAAAGAGCTTTTTACGACACACAAAGACGCTTAGAGCGGAAATGGAAATTATCTACATATCAAGACATTTAACAAAAAATAATCTTAAAAGTGCAATGTGTATTTATACTCAGCATTCCTACATCAGCACCACATGTCATAAAGTAGACTAGAAATATCCATTTATTGTCCCAAAGTGGGGAAATGTAGCTGCTCTAGAAGCAAGTTAAAGTGAAAATTACATTCACAAAGATTTGTCTGAACTCCATCCCCCTCAACAGCACACAGCATTCCCATCAGATGTGAAGGACTTGACGAAACGCATCAGGACCGTTTTGATGGCCACAGCTCAAATGAAGGAGCACGAGAGAGATCCAGAAATGCTGGTGGACCTGCAGTACAGCCTTGCCAAGTCGTACGCCAGCACGCCCGAGCTGCGAAAGACCTGGCTGGACAGCATGGCCCGGATCCATGTGAAGAATGGAGACCTATCAGAGGTCTGTGATAACACACCTGTCTGTTTGTGTGGTTCTTTGGGCTGGATTGTGCTATTACGATGGATAATTTAGCATTCAGCAGACTTGCATCAAAGTGGGTGTTTTATGTAGTTCAGCTGCTTTATACTGATTCTTTTGATGTACGGTTAAATGTGGTGATAAATCATCGGTATCCCCTTTGCGATTTTGATTGTCATTTTTAATGTTTTGGTTCCCAGGCGGCCATGTGCTATGTTCATGTTGCAGCCCTCGTGGCAGAATACCTCCGGAGAAAAGGTGCTACAGTTGTTTCTGATGAAAATGCCTTTGATCCAGTTCTTTAATTTGTCATTAGAAAGTTTCTACCTATATTATATTAACGTCTCTCCTCCTGTCTTATGTAGGAATGTTCAAGCAGGGCTGTTCAGCTTTCCGAGTTGTAACCCCAAACATTGATGAAGAAGCCGCAATGATGGAGGATGTTGGGATGCAGGATGTGCATTTTAATGAAGTAAAACTATTTTCTTCTTACTGTGTGTATTTTGTGTCTATTGTTATCTAGTGAAGATTAATGAGTTCAGAAAAAATCTGAAATATATCCAAGTTACATAAAAAAGGTTTAAAAAAATAACTACATTTGATTTATACCTTTTTTTTTTTTGCATCTGCAGTACAAATCAAATGTTCATCTTAAAGACTCTTCAGTTCTTGGGATGAATTCCACTGCTTGGGCTTCATCTACTTTAAGTTTGTCTGTAGATTTCAGAGCTACAACTATGAATAGTTACTTTTGCTTTAGTAGGAGAATCATACAAAGTCTGAAGATGGATTTTGAAATAAATATTATTGTGCTTGTCTGTCTGTTCCTAATAGCTTGGTTCGGAAGCACTCCGTTCCTTTTCTGGTCCTCATGATCAGCCTGTACTTGTGTCTCCTCAAACCCCTTTAACTAAGCTCTCAATGCATTATTTTCTTTCCATTTGTCGTCCACTCAGGACGTTCTAATGGAGCTTTTGGAGGAGTGTGCAGATGGCCTGTGGAAAGCAGAGCGCTATGAGCTCATCTCAGACATCTATAAACTCATAATCCCAATTTATGAGAAGCGCAGGGACTTTGAGGTACACTGTCTCTTTATTACGGGTCCAATCTCCTAACCAGATTGAATTAGTCTTCATTTTACTTGGCTTCAAGCATGCTCTACAACTCTGCTGCCTCCCTTTATGCAGAAACTGGCCCACCTGTATGACACCCTGCATCGTGCATACAGCAAAGTGACGGAGGTGATGCATACAGGCAAGAGGCTGCTGGGGACGTACTTCAGAGTGGCTTTCTTCGGCCAGGTAGGGTCAGCCTTCAGAATGCAGTAACACAATCTGTCCACTAGGGTTTAAGGTTTGGCGTTCTTTTCCAAACAAACATATTGCGTGTGTGACTGTAAATTATTAAAACTTGACTGAAGAGCACAAGTCGGCAAGCTGCTGAATATATTTTAAGAGCACGACTGCATGCAGCAACATTTTATGACCCAACTTCTCTGTTTTTTTATTTTTTTTTATCCTCTTTGAAGGCAGCGGTAAGTCATACAGGAGACCTTCCTGATTTTGTCCAAACAGTCGTAGTCTGTGGTGTTTGTGCTGCTTTAATTCATTTGCACTTGTCAAACACAGCTTGCTGCTTCAAATTTCACAATGTGCTATTCTGTGTCACCTCATATTATTGTGGGGTTTTTTTCTTACATCAGCTGAGAGTTTGCTCATAGTTTTTTTTTTTTTTCTGTTGAAAGATTCATCTATGATAGGTAAAAAGCCAAGCAAATTTTTAAAAATATATATTTGGTAATTTTAGAGGTGACTCAAAACAGCTCAGCTTTAATAGAGCATCTCTTCTTCAGTAAACATATATTTCAGTATTTCCTGCTTTTTGATGCATGGACTAAAGCAAATATTTAAACAAAAACACTAAACTTTTTGTTGTTGTTGTTATTTTCAAGCGTCTATGGTACAGATTACTCATCCACTTTGCCATTTAACTCTTTAAAAGAAACAAAAGTGAAGTCAGCTGGTCTAAGCTGATTAATTGATTAATTCATTTTCACTATGAGGATGAGGGGCAGCCCTGTGTTACTCCATGCACTATATGGTTGCAGAAACCTTCACTGACATCTCATTAAAAGCATGATGTAACAGGAAATTGAAGTTGTAATTGTTTAAAGTCTTATTATGCCCATAAACTGATAATGTATTCCTTTTCTTTCAAATCTTCAGAACAAATAAAAATGAATGTTGGTGTATTTGTCTGCAGTGTAGCCCTCATGTTGAGGTTTCTTCCTGTTACATCATCTTAATAACACAGAGTACTTGTGTTGCAAACTTTGCACGGAAAGCAAGTTAAGGTTTGACTGTTAGCTCCGTTTTTCTGGCACGCTGTCAACACTCTACATTTGTTTAGCATTGCAACCAACCAGCTAAATTTGTGATTGGTGAACATTCCACTCAGACGGAGCATTCCTTTGCAAAAATGATGGAAAATTTTTCCAGACAAGTTTTGGAGTAACAACACTGACTTAACTACATTGCAATGTCTTATAAAACAACTACATAACGCAATAATGTGATGATGATGTAACACTTGAGGAGAATTTCTTTTCACTAGAACAAAAGCAACCGAAATAAGATGGTTGAGTTGGCACAGAATGACTAACAACCAGCACTGCTAATCTCTGTTTAAAGGACATGTTGCATGGCACTCGTTCACTTCTGCACTCATTTCAGCATTTCTGCGTGTATTGCAATTGCAAATTTAGTTCGTGGGGTTTTAGTTCTGACCGTGTTCGTCGACTTTAGTGATATTTTCTGAGTGTGTTTACCCTCCAGCTGTGTTCTTTGATGAATAATAAGAACAGTTGCCTTTTCCAGTTAATGTGCTCACAGTTATTGTAGTTTTTGAATAACAATGATTTTATTCTTTTGTGTTGTCCACACTCCTGTAGCAGTACCAGTTTACTGATTCAGAGGCGGAGGTAAATTAGTCTGAGAGCTGCAGTGTGTTTTAGGCTGCTTCAGTGTTGTGCTCCTTCACTAATGCAGTCTGCAGTGCGGTTTCATGTGCGGTGGTGATGTTTTAAGCCCCTTAACTCCTCCTGTGCGCCACAATCAGTTTTGTAGCGATCAGAGTAGGAAGCCCCTTGTACAAAGCTAATCACAGGGTTTAGATCCCGCTGTATAAACGCATGGCTTCACCCTTCATTTCACAGGACTTTTAACTTGTAGTGTGCTATTATGGCATCCATGTCTTCTTTAGATATAAAACTAATAAACTAACACAAGTGTTTGTTTTTTTCCCTCTAGTTGCTATTCTTGGAGCTTAGATAGTATGTTGTATATTTAGGACTGCTCAGATCAGAGCTGAGTCTTTTAATCAGTGTCAGAATGCCTCCCACTCACTATTTATACTTGGTTTGATGTGCTTCCCTTGTTAGTAGATTAATCCAGCGTTTGTGCTTATTTAAGCTGACTTTTCAGAGCGTTTCATCTTTTTTAGGGTTTCTTTGAGGATGAAGATGGTAAGGAGTACATCTACAAGGAGCCCAAGTTCACGCCCCTGTCTGAGATCTCCCAGAGGCTCCTGAAGCTTTACTCTGACAAGTTTGGACAGGAGAACGTGAAGATGATTCAGGATTCTGGACGGGTGAGGTCATCTGCATTTATCTTTTGAAAAAAAAAAAAAAAAAGTTCCACCACTCAGTGGATCCCTAAATGAAACAGAGTGAAAAGGTCTTTTTTTTTTTTTTTTTTTTTTTTTTTTTTTTGGGGTTTTTAAAAAAAAAAAAAAAAAAAAAAAAAAATTTTACCTGGGGGTTTTTTTTTTTTT